AGAACTCTTAAGCTTATAATATCTGTTAGACGCGCAGAGGTTTAACAGCAGTTAATGCCACCAGGGAGGAGCATGGGTTTGGGTCACTTGACATGTCGTGCTGAGTGGCACGATCTTCCAGTCACATGGTGATCTAACCTCTAGAAAGTCAAGATTAAAGTTTCAAGCGTTGTTTTCTTGGATTTTTATTACTTTTGGGAAACCCAGTTCAATTGGATTTCAGTTTTCGTTATTAGCCGTGCGGCTACCTTGGATTAGGATTTCGTTCATTTCAATTGTAAAGTGAAGTGGTTTTACCAGAGACACAGTTGAACTACGAAGTATAAAGTGGCCTAGCGACTCGTGCTGACGTGGTTACTCGATCTGCCTTGGTGAGAAAGTTCCGTTTATTACCGTTGCTTTCGACTTTCCGTTGTGATATTGTTTATTTTCTGTCGATAACGAACATAATCGTACTTTCGTATCTTGCTGTTGTTCTTTTTTTTTCCAACCGGAGTTGACGCCATCTTTTCGCACGATGGGAGATAGTGAACCATCCACCCCGCTGGGCAAGGTGTCGAAGGAAACAGACGCCATGAGCAGGCAAGAATCAATGGATAAATTTAATGCTCTTGAAAACACTATAAGGCAAATGTTCGGTATGATTAGAGATATGGCTAATAACCAGCAGCAAGTGTCTGCGTCTGGAAATTCAGCAGGCCTTTCACAGTCAGTTTCAGGTATGTCTGTTGATAATGTCAACCCGCCACCTGAAAGCCAGGAGCATCCTGCGTCTGCCCCTTCGTTTTTGAAAGTGATTCCTCCTCCTCAGTGTTCATCTTTGCCTGCTCAGGGCCCTAGCATGGTTTTTGATAACCCAACCTGCTCAGTAGATGTTGAGCCTATTAATATGGTGCCTCAGTCGCATGCTCTGTGTCTACTGCTGTGCAGCCAGTGCCAGGTTATTTGGTTTCCAAAATTCAGGCAGGTCAATATGTAGACTTTAATTTACTCCGGCCTAACAATTTGAAGAAGCTGCCAACTGAGGAGCCTAGTCAATTCCAACTGTCCAAGCTGCTTCGTTCTGATCTGCAAAATATAACCACATTTGCAGATTGGTCTGAAGCATGGGCAGTCTATGTGGGAGTTTTGGCAAAGGATGCCACAGCAAATATTTCCAGCCTCATTAGCTATTTTCTGTTGCTTTCCACAGCGTCTAGGGATGTCCCAGGGTCTGGTTGGCTTGAATATGATGCAGCTTTTCGTAAACAGGTAGTGAACAATCCTTCAGAAAATTGGGGGGAGGTTATTCCTACCCTTTGGATGACAACCGTTCTAAGCCAAGGCTCACTGAAGAACAGCATAAGAGAGGGAAATAGCATGACTGCTTCAAAGAGCTCTCTCCCCTGTTTTAAGTGGAATGATGGTGAATGCACAATGGCACGCTGTCGTTATGCTCATAATGTTTGTTCTGTTTGTCGTGGTGCCCACAAAAAGAAAAACTGTCAAACACAGGTTCCATGTCTTCCCCCAGCGGTATCTGAATCTAATTTTAGTGGCGGGCCAGCACCACAAGGTTCACGCAAGAGAGCCCACCCCAAGTGACTCTCCCCACTGGAATTACTTACTGTTGACAGGAATTTATATTCGCTGCCATTGCCTCTTGCCATATCACCACTTAATTATTATTTTTGGAATTTACTGCTGTCTAACTATGATTATCAAGATAAACAATGGATTTTACGTGGCCTCCGCTTTGGTTTTGATATCGGTACTTCCGATGGTGTACTCAAATCAGCAACTAGAAATTGCCTGAGTGCATCTACTCAACCACATATTATTACTAATTATCTCCAAGAAGAAACAGACTTTGGTACTATGTTAGGCCCACTAGATGTGCCTCCTTATTCAGATCTGCATATAAATCGTTTTGGAGTTATTCCTAAAAGTACCCCTGGCACTTTTCGCTTAATTACAGATTTATCTTTTCCACGCCATTGTAGCGTTAACGACTTGATACCTGACTCGCAAGCAGAGGTCTCATATACAGGTATTCCAGAGGCTATTGACTTGATAATGCCACTGGGGAAAGGGGCACTGCTTGCAAAATTCGACATACGCCGTGCTTATAGGTTGCTACCAGTTAAATCTCAGCAGCGCCATATGCTTGGTATGCAATGGCAGGGTAAATTCTACATTGATTTAGCACTACCGTTTGGTCTTCGCTCTGCTCCAAAGATTTTTACCCGTTTCGCTGATGCCTTGCAATTTTTATTGGAGAATGAGGTGTGTGTCTCAAACCTTCAACATTATTTGGATGATTTTTTCTTAGTTGGTCCTCCAAATTCCAATATTTGTAAGCGACATCTCGAGGCATGTTTCTCGCTTTGTGAGACATTGGGTGTTCCCATCGCTCAGGATAAAACAGAGGGTCCTTCAACTTGCATTACTTATTTAGGTTTCAAGCTTGATTCTGTTAAACAAGAATTGCAGTTGCCTCAAGAAAAACTTGTCCAAGTTCGTGCTAAGCTTTCTGTTTGGAAAAATCGCAAAACTGGAAAAAAGCGTGAATTACTTTCGTTAATTGGCCTTTTGCAGCATTGTTGCCAGGCAATTGTTAGGAAGGCCCTTTCTCAGACGTTTAATTGATCGTGCTCATTCTGTGTCGGAATTTCATCATTTTGTTAAACTGTCATGCTGGGAACAAGATGATATTAAATGGTGGTTTAAGCTCCTACAATCTTGGAATGGCAAAAGCTTATTTTTTTTTCCTACTTGGGAAAATGCACCGAAAATATCTGTGACTTCTGATGCTGCAGGCAGCATCGGTTTTGCAGCCATTTATGAGACTCATTGGTTTGCAGGCGTTTGGCCAATTGAGGCTTTATCTATCAATATTGCTTCAAAAGAGCTGATCCCTATCGTTCTTTCGGCCCATATTTGGGGAAATACTTGGTCCAGGAAGCGCATAGCTTTTCGCTGTGATAACATGGCTGTAGTCCTCTTATTAAGACAAGGCAGTTGTAAGGACCGCCACTTGGCTTTCTTGCTGAGGGAGTTGACAATACTAGCCATTTTGCATTCATTTACATTTACTGCAATACATATTCCTGGTGCCCGTAATGAACAAGCTGATGCATTGTCACGTTCTGATTTTCAGGCTTTCTTTCGGGCTGTCCCAACTGCGGATACAAGTTCCATCGCAATCCCAGAGGGTCTCCTTCAGCATCTGCTGTTTCCACCTTGGACGAGTCATGGCAAACACTCCTAGCACAGTCACTGTCAGTAAATACCAGGAAAACCTATTCGTCTGCTCAAAAGCAATTTATTACCTTTTGCCAGCAAAATGAATTTTTACACGACAATGGTTCTCCCTGTCCTGCTTCTGGGCTTACACTGCTGCGTTTTATTGGCAAAGCTGGCAAAACGTGTCAAGCTTCAACTCTGAAAGTTTATCTCGCCGCTGTTCGAGCTTTACATATAGCGGAAGGATACCCGGATCCTTTACAAAACCTTCATCGTATTCCTTTAGTTGTAAGAGGATTGCGAAGAGTGAAAAGCTCAAATGCCGCAGCAACTAAGCTTCCAATTACCGCCTTGATTTTACATACCATCAAAGTGCAGTTAGATTTGACAAAATTTGACGATGCTATGCTTTGGGCTGCATGTTGTACTGCCTTTTTCGGGTTCTTAAGGGCAGCCGAATTTACTGTCCCTTCAAACCATTTTTCAGAAGGGTTGCATTTATCTCTTGATAAGATATCTGTAGACAAGATGCCTGTTCCATCAGTTGTATCTATTGCATTGTCCAGGTCTAAGACAGATCAGTTTGGCAAAGGTTGCTCAATTTTACTTGCCCGTTCTGACTCTGTTTTATGTCCAGTAACAGCCTTTATGACATATATTCGTCTTCGTGGAGAAAGGTCTGGTCCACTGTTCCTGTTTTCGAATGGTGCCTTCTTGACTAAGAATAGACTTAACAGTTGGCTACAGAAATCTTTATTATCAGCTGGCTGGAATGGTCGTTTCACGCTGCACAGCTTTCGTGTAGGGGCTGCTTCTACGGCTGCCTCTTTAGGCTTCCCTGAATATCTGATAAAGGCACTTGGTCGCTGGTCAAGTGAGGCCTATCAAGTTTATATCAAGCTTTCGCAAACTCGCTTAATAACTGCTTCAAGATGTCTGGCATCAGCCTCTACTTTAAGTAGTGGTTAACTTTGGTGGGCAAAGACATTTTATTTCGATTAATTGTTATGTTCCCTAATATGTTCTGTTCAAGACTATTTTACCCTTTGTCAATTTGCTGGTTCAGTTTTTTTGTTGTTGTTCAAAATTCACTTATTGAAGTGATGTAGCTTTTTTTTTTCTTCATGTTTCTGACATAGCATTTTCACTATTTTAATTACTTGGACTACTTAATTACCAGTGGCTCAGTGCCGTTTCGTTTTATGGCCTTTAGGCCATTGTTTTATTTAACTTTAATATTTTGGTGTGATCGCCGTTGGCTCATTGCCGACTTTTTCTGGCCTTTGGCCAACGTTTCTCATTCCATATTTTAATGGTGTTTGGCAAAATGCTGGTGGCCCACGGCCGTTTGTTTTATGCTTTATTTAAGTTTAAAATTTGACGTAAACGCTGTTGGCTTACTGCCGATTTTTTCTGGCCTTTAGCCGATGTTTTCATTCCATGTTTTAATGTTGTTTGGCAAAACTGCTGGTGGCTCAGTGCCGTTTGTTTTATGCTTTATTTATGTTTAAAATTTGGCGTAAACGCCGTTGGCTTTCTGCCGATTTTTTCTGGCCTTTGGCCGATGTTTTCATTCCATATTTTAATATTGTTTGGCAAAAATGCCGGTGGCTCAGTGCCGTTTGTTTTTATGGCCTTTTAGGCCGTTGCTTTATTTAACTTTATAATTTGGCGTAAACGCCGTTGGCTTTCTGCCGATTTTTTCTGGCCTTTGGCCGATGTTTTCATTCCATATTTTGATGTTGTTTGGCGAAAATGCCGGTGGCCCAGAGCCGTTTGTTAGTTCAGTTAGGATATGCTAAATTTATGGTTGGTGATTGGTGGGTACACTATGTGTCCTTTGGCCGGAAATATTTTCCCTGTTACAATCACCGCCCATAAAAGGTATAATTGTTCAGGCAGTTTAAGGGCTGATGCATTGTTCGCCCACTTTCTGATGTTGATCTATGTCCCTCCCTGGTGAAGTATTAAATATCTGTTAGATGCGCAGAGGTTTAACAGCAGTTAATGCCACCAGGGAGGAGCATGGGTTTGGGACACTTGACATGTCGTGCTGAGTGGCACGATCTTCCAGTCACATGGTGATCTAACCTCTAGAAAGTCAAGATTAAAGTTTCAAGCGTTGTTTTCTTGGATTTTTATTACCCGCCCTCCTCCCCTTCCCTATTTTCTTTCTTTCCTTCATATGTTTCCTAATTTTTTTTTTTCCTCTCTCTCTTTTCCCGCGGTTCTTTTGCCGTGGGACAGGTGCATTAGCCGGAAATATTTTCCCTGTTACAATCACCGCCCATAAAAGGTATAATTGTTCAGGCAGTTTAAGGGCTGACGCATTGTTCGCCCACTTCCTGATGTTGATATATGTCCCTCCCTGGTGAAGTATTAACTAAAAATTAACAAAAATCTAACCTTTTAGATTCCCTTTTGTCGAGCCTCACAAAAAACCACTGGTCTCTAGCCTGCTTTGGATGTTTCCTTGCTTGTAATTTCGATTTTCCTATAATACGGTTCCTATAAATTTCAATTTTCATAATGTTTATAATAAAGGAAGAAATTCAAATTTTGCCAAACAGCCAAATTTATATGTTCTGAACTTTGCACAATCTCATCTGGTCAGAATACAGGTCTATAAAAGTTTAGACATCAGTATCAACAATAAATGCCACAAATTAAATAATTAACTATCAACAGCCGTGCCAGGTCTTTATGCATATGTAGATTAACAGAGAGAGAAGACATTCAGATTGATTTTTTTCTTTTTTTAATTTAATAACAATCTAAAACCAAACAACACTCTAATATCAACATTCTAATATCAACAAAAACAACAACAAAAACAACTACTACTATTTATAATGAATATTAAAACTTTGGTGCTGGCCACTATAATTATGGTAGTGGCCAGACCCGTGGGTGTCCCTACCGGACTCCACTTTCTTTGCCTTTTCTCTTCTAGAGTTGATTAATTTTATGTATATTGTCATCCCTGGTCTGAAAAAGAAATTAAATAGAAATAAAGACAGAAACACTGAAAATAAATATTGAAAAGAGAAACATTTGAAAAACTTTGCTTTTTCGATTTTCTTGTTCAATCAAAGACTCAACATCAGATTAGCTATGTCATTATAAGTGAGACTCGTCACACTAACAAGTGAAATAATAAACATCGAAAAAACTACATATTGAGTTCAAAACTTAGTATTAGTAATTAATAACCCAATACTGCAGATAGAAAAAGCAAGAAACGCCACTAGAGGAGTTTGGAAAGCATGTGCACTATTTGACATTTTTAAAGTTGAAAATGTAATAACAAATACCTTATTTTGTATAATTTTTTATGCTCATCGAGCATAATGAAGTTTTGTCTTTGTTTCAATTGAAAAACACGGGCGACCCTTTGCTTTAGGGCCCCCAGTTTTTGTTCGTAGGGCAGCAACTAAAAAACATACAATAAACATATTGAATTTTATAATTCTAATCCGTCTTAAACCCATCATCAATTTAGAATAATAATATTTTATGCATTATTGATTGATTGCACCACATCGTAATGTTTCAAAGATGAGGTAGAAATAAACTAAATTACAACTAATTTTTACAATTACAGTGTCCAGTGTAAAATTAACTCAAGT